GTGACATGTGACAGGTGACAGGTGATATGTGACATGTGACAGGTGACAGGTGATAGGTGACAGGTGATATGTGACATGTGACAGGTGATATGTGACATGTGACAGGTGACATGTGATATGTGACATGTGACATGTTACAGGTGATATGTGACATGTGACATGTGACAGGTGACAGGTGACAGGTGATATGTGACAGGTTACAGGTGACATGTGACAGGTTACAGGTGACACATGACAGGTGACACGTGACAGGTGACATGTGACAGGTTACAGGTGACAGGTGATATGTGACATGTGACAGGTGAAATGTGACATGTGACAGGTGACATGTGACAGGTGATATGTGACATGTGAAAGGTGATATGTGACAGGTGATATGTGACATGTGACAGGTGACAGGTGATATGTGACAGGTTACAGGTGACAGGTGATATGTGACATGCGACAGGTTACAGGTGACAGTGATATGTGACATGTGACAGGTGACATGTGACAGGTGATATGTGACATGTGACAGGTGATATGTGACAGGTGATATGTGACATGTGACAGGTGACAGGTGATATGTGACATGTGACAGGTGACAGGTGATATGTGACATGTGACAGGTGACAGGTGACATGTGACAGGTGACAGGTGATATGTGACATGTGACAGGTGATATGTGACAGGTGACAGGTGACATGTGACAGGTGATATGTTACATGTGACAGGTGATATGTGACAGGTGATATGTGACATGTGACAGGTGACAGGTGACAAGTGATATGTGACATGTGACATGTGACAGGTGACATGTGACATGTGACAGGTGATATGTGACAGGTGACAGGTGATATGTGACAGGTGATATGTGACATGTGACAGGTGACAGGTGATAGGTGACAGGTTATATGTGACATGTGACAGGTGATATGTGACATGTGACAGGTGACAGGTGACAGGTGATATGTGACATGTGACATGTGACAGGTGATATGTGACATGTGACAGGTGACATGTGACAGGTGACATGTGACACGTGACATGTGACAGAGACACCTTCGAGGACGAGCAAAGGACAGACACAGGTTAGATCAGAATAACTTAATAATAATAACTGCTACCAAACTGATACATCCTAACCTGGACCTGACCTGGACCTGACCTGGACCTGACCTAGACCTGACCTGGACCTGACCTGGACCTGACCTGGACCTGACCTGGACCTGACAAGACATGGAGACAAATGACACCTTTATGACAAATCATCCTGATAACATTAAGAATGAAAAGTAAAAGTTTACCTTTGATAAAACTTATAAAAAGCTGAAGTAAATGGTGATATTTACTTTTATTTGAAGAATTTCAGAATCATCAACAAGCTGAACTCATGTCAATGTTTCTAATTATAACATTGGAAGAATACTAATTTCATAATTATTATTTTCTTCTACTGTATATTAAATTTATTTCGTTTTTACTTAATGTATTTAATATTTGAATTATCATAAGTTAACATTTCAGTGTGAGGAAAAAAACTGTGAATAAGTGCTTTGTTTGTGTGCTGCTCTGTCATGTAGAACAAACTGATAATAAAATTATTAAAAAGAATAATTGGACAAAACAAATACTGATTAATTCAACAAGGGATTAAAAATCAGTTCACTACTTAAGTCATAAAGAGGTTTTATTGACCAACAACAATCACTAAATCTGGAAAACAGAAAAAGAAAATATCACATAAATCAGATCCTGTTGAAATGTTCAGGAAATAATCTCTGTAAATCTGCAGCTTTTTGGAGCTGACACAATTCAAGATGGCTGCCACAGCTAACTGACTAACAGAAAAAAGTGACAGATGTGTTAAAACTGGGTGAACCTGTAACAGGAAGTCATTGACAACACAAATATATTATATGTTGCAAAAGATCTTTGTTTAAAATGGACAACTGATGGAGTCAGTCTGGTTTGTGTTAGCAAAATATCTCATGAACCAGTGAAAGAAACAATCCACAGACCTGCGTCTGCATACAGGGCATTACTTCAGGTAATGGTAAGCCTTTATTCTTGTTTAACAATAAATGAGCCTAAACTGGACAGTCATTTTAATTTAAAGGTTTATAACACCAAACAAAGTTTACTTTTTTATGTATTTTGGTCAATTTACTTTAATGTCAAATTATTTCAAACCAGTTTTTATTAAAGAATTTTATGTATACTTTAAGATGAGGACATAATTACAGAAGCCAATAATGGATGTTTTCTTTATTTCTGAAACATTATGTCTTTATCACAAGATAATGATGAGTGTTTCTCGAGATAATTTATTCCATTCTCACCAGAAGATTCATTGTTTTCTCCAGATAACAAGATGATTATTTTTTCTTGAATGATCGTGATCAGTGTTCCTAAAACCTTTCCAAAAATGTACTGAAGCTGAAAATGTCAGATGGTGGAGAGCCTGGCATCGATCAACACGTTGACCACAGGCTGGAATTTTGTTTGTCCTGTACATTTAAGAAGACGGCTGGCCCGACTGCGGTGCAGCAGTGATTCCCAGGGGTACGTACCCCAAGGTGTACGTACACCTTGGTGTACGTACACCWWGGYMGTAKGTACCCCAAGGTGTACGTACACCTTGGTGTACGTACACCTTGGGGTACTTACATCCTTGGGGTACGTACACCTTGGTGTACGTACACCTTGGGGTACTTACATCCTTGGGGTACGTACACCTTGGGGTACGTACATCCTTGGGGTACATACACCTTGGGGTACGTACATCCTTGGGGTACGTACATCCTTGGGGTACGTACACCTTGGGGTACGTACACCTTGGGGTACGCGAGCATATTACAGGGGCTACATGGAAAACTTTCCCAGGTGTGTAAAAAATATAATAAAATAGGATAAAGATTTGTAGGTCCCCATGATTTCCACAATGTGGAAAATGCAGACAGAATCATGGAATTGATACAAAATGGAATCCATTAAAAACACAAATTTCTCATGGAATTTTCTCATTTGGTCGAGTTTCTGACGTGTTTTAGATACTGCTGCTTCCTTCACCTGGTTTATTAATTCAATTACTTTTTCACTTTCAAGGCAAACATTTTTATCTTTGTTTAATTTGAGTTGAAAATAATAAAATGTCTGAGAATTAAACGTTCTGGGGAGTTAATAATATATAATAATATATGGTAATAATATAATTTTCATTAAATAATAATTTATTGTACATTATAGTTTTGGAGAATCATCATTAGGTTTGACTGAAGGGACAGTGGTCTGACTAAATGTCTCAACGGGGCACACAAGTCTAAAAAGGACTTAGGACGTTTTCATCTACTGACTGAGGCACAAGAGGAAAACCAACTCGTTATCCTAAGAAAACCATTGTTATTTACAGAAAACATCCCTTCTCATCTTTTGTTCTTATTATGACCCCTGACCCCCCCACCCTCTCACCCCCGCACGTGAAGTGTAAACAGGAGTCAAATAATTTTCGTAATGTTTTTTTTTCCAGTGATTTTTGGTCAACTGTAGCACAAAAACAGCTGCACCGATCAACATGAAATGAGTCAGGACAGTAGATGAGTCTGACCTACACTGCACCAGCCAACGGTTTTATGATAGACCCCATATTTGAGGAGGGGGCTCTTTTCAAAGAGGGGGTGTCTGGACATATGTAAGGCTTATAACTCAGAAACTGTTCAACATAGAAGCTTCACATTTCTTTTGTTGTTCAGCTCTGATGAAGCTCTATCCATCAGGCCCACCAATCAGTGCCCCCACCCCTCCCCCGGACCCCTAATTTATCTGACAAAGTGGTATCAGGACATGCAAAAATAGTTATAGCTCAAAAACTATTAAACATAGGAGCTTCAGATTTATTTTGTTGTTCAGCTCTGATGAGGGGCTGTCCATCAGGTCAACCAATGCCCCCCACCCCCACAAAAAAAGGCCCCACCCAAACCACTACAAATTTGGGATGCACCTTGTAGCATGACATTTATTAGGAATAAAGACTTCGGAGTTCTGGTGCATTTCTGCCTGCGGGGGTCTTTATGTTACCATGTGGTGTCTAGTTTTTGTATAAGTTTGTCATTAAATCCACATCTGGTCTTTAATTGTCTTTTTGTTGACAAAGAGCTGTTTCCACACATCTGTTCTTGTTATAAAATACTGTAGTTTATTAGAAATGACTGAACAAACTAACTTTGATGCTACTTTTGATTATTTCACTAAATATCACATTTTATACAGACAGAAAGGTTTTCATCATTCAGAGCAAAAACAAATGAACAGAAAAAGGAAAGTAAATATACAGATCATACAGAACAACACAAATACAAAACAAAACTGTGGATTATAAATTCAAACGTTCTTGACGAAGGAGAAACAAAAACAGATTTATTGGACTTTTCTGAATTATTGGACATCATTCAAAACAGATAAAAAACTGATCCACATTCAGCTTTGCAAAAAACTCAAATTACTTTATGTCGCCCGCCACCAAAGGTGAAAGGACCCTATGTGTATTTGTCTGTCTGTTAGCAAAATATCTCACGGAGTCAAATTTACTCTTATTGAGTTAAAATTTGCTGTGATGGTAGCTGAGAATCATTTTTAATTTATACTTTAAAATTTAACTGATCACATATCACTTTATAAAACTCAGCCCGTTACTATGCTGTTGTGTTTTATATGTCTTTTCACAGGATGAATAACTTCCCAAATAAAACTTTAAACGTAAATAAATAAAAATTTAGCTCCAGTATCAGTACTTGTAGTTGCATTTTATTCGACATCTCATTGCAGCAAAAGTTTAATCAGCTGAGTTGCTAAACTTACATTTAAAAACAAATTCTTTGGTCCATGAAGAATGTCCAAACTCTGTTGACTCGGTTAAAAAAAAACTCGGCCGTCTTCCTTTTCCTGTTTAGTTTGCTGACGGCGCAAAGAATCCTGGGACATCCACAGCCAGGAAAGATAATCAGATGCAGCCTTTATTTTCAGGACTTTTTGGACCGTGTTCGTTGGCCCCATGAGGAGGAGCCCATGAACTGGGACAGCCCTCGGCGAGGGACAGTGACGTAAATGTCCGATAAATGCAAACTTGGAAGGACACAGCCCCTGAACTGAGCCACCGCCACAGCTGACTACAGCCAACACAACACAGGGAGTTTTACAGACACTCATGTAAAATCTGAGGTGGTAGTAGCTGAGAGTCATTTACAACACATCCTCTGAGGGTGATCACATCTCATCAGATCCTGCATCAGTTTCAAGCCTTGTCTAAAACCTCTACGACTCATCCCTTCTCATCACGAAGAGATCTGGCCTGAGAGGCGGTGGGCGACATCATTCCTTCAAGGGCTTTGATCCTTTCATGTGTCACTGACATGTAAACCAGAGAAAACGAACACAGGTGATGGTGGAGGGGCTGACTAAAAACCCACGAGTCTTTACTACTCAGCTGGATGACCTGACCGGATCCGACCTGACATCAGAACTATGGGTTCAGTGTAAACTCATTATATTCTTCTATGTCCAGCTCCTGGTCTGAGTCCTCTGACACATCAGAGTCCAGATCTGTGTGAGTCTCCTGCAGGGTCAGAGGGGGTCCACAGTGACCACCCTGCTCCACCTGGGAGGCCAGGCCCGTCTGTCTCTGCTCCGGGTTCTGGACCCCCACCTCCTCTGATGTCTTGTCTCCTTTACTGCTCCTCCCGACCACACAGTCGTCCTCCACCTCCCGTTTCCCGCCCTGAGGATTCTCCTGACAAACACACACAAAATTATGAAACTACGACTCGAACAGCCTGACCCAGTTGGACTTCAGAACATCGAGCCTCTCACCTGTTTTAGTCTTCGCCACTTGGCTCGTCGGTTCTGAAACCAAGTCTTTACCTGAAAGAAAAACAAACAAATACAACGCTTTAGTTTGACCAGACAGGGCATTCTGATGTTACCAGTCCCATACAATGGCTTCAGAGGGTCCCTACTGTGCCTTCTAGGCTTCAGACTGTCCCAACAGTGCCCCCTAATGGGTTAATATATCAATGACAATGAATGTGTAAATAACCAAAACATATTGTAATAATTTTTTGTGTCTGTGTCAGTCTCAAGCCCTGGTCCGACACTCTACCCATTGCCCTATTGGAAGGCCACAATATACAACTGTTGGAGGGCGGTGTCTTTAGCACTAACCATGTCATTTGCTCTAAAGTTAACCTTAGTGGCTTTAAGCCTCATATTAACCAGTTTTTTATATCTCATATTAACCAGATAGTAGTTTTATACCTCATATTAACCAGATAGTGGTTTTATGTCTCATATTAACCAGATAGTAGTTTTATGTCTCATATTAACCAGATAGTGGTTTTATGTCTCATATTAACCAGATAGTGGTTTTATGCCTCATATTAACCAGTTCACAATCAGAAACCATTCTATGGGACGGGGAACCTGCTAACCGGCACAGGTGGGACATTCTGAAGCCATTCTATGGGACTGATAACACCTAATAACGTCCATTTCATGGATGATAACATCTGAAGCGGGGGGACCAGATAAGGCCACATAAATCTCTGGGAAAGTAAACAGCATGAATTTTTAACTGAGGCAACGTGAATCAGTACTCATCCATCCTCAGGTTTCATATTCCTGATTCCTTCATCAGGACATCAGTTGAAAACAGGAAGTCATGATTCTGCACTGTTTCTGATTGGGTCAGATGTGAACCAGGTGATATATGACTCACATAGAAAAGAGATCAGTTAAAATGTTAGCACAATGAACTGATCGAGTACTGAACATCACAATCTGCACAGTGTGCTGGGTGCACCGAGGGGAGGAGCATTCTGTTGAAGATGTTTCACGTTTTCAACTGACAAAGCCTTCCTGATGGAAGAGAAATAATTACAGTTTCAAAATAAAAGTCCAGTTAAAAAAATCAACATTTTTTTAATGCCTCTAACCTCATGAAAAGCTTCATCCTGACATTTAGGACATTTATTTTATGCTAGTTGTCTTTATTTAGATGAACTATTTTAAGTTTATTTTTTATTTCCACTCTTGAGTAAAATATATATTAATATTTCTAATTCTTAGTTTTTCAAAAAACATTTATATTGATAAGGTTCTACTAATTGTATATAGCTGGGAAATATTTAAATAAGCACAAAGCTTGGGACTCAAGAGGATAAAAGTGGTGGGGCACAGCCCCCCGTGGCCACCCCCACTTGTTGTGCCCCTGGTGACTGACAGGTGTTGATCCATGGTGAAAACTGGAGCACTGTGTATCTGTCAGATGTAGCTGAAGACTTTTCAAATGTGTCTTCTGAGTTATTAGTAATTAGAGCAGATTTGTTGTCAGACTGAATGACTGGAGAGGTTTTCTGTTACAGCTGCTACACATCTGTCTGCATGTCAGAGACAAGACATTTAATTTGTGCAGCACTAACAGGGACATGGCATTTCTTATTTTGTGAATGTTTAGTTTTTAATAAGCTCCACTGTTTGTTTTAGCAGCTTCATAATTAAATTAAATTAGTCTGACAAAGCAGCAGCTCTCATTTACAGTCGTCTCGTTCAGCTCGGTGTATTTCTCCTCTCAGTAGGGTTGTTTACAGCACACTGTTAGCTTCTTAGCTTAGCCTCTGTCACAGCGACATACGTCACAGCCAACTGATCCTTTTTTTTGTTCTCTTGACAAACGACTGTCTCTAAAGAGATATGGAGGTAAATTTGTGTTTTTATTATT